CAAAATGCAAAACTGAAAATTTGTATGTGTCTCTCCATGGACCCAATGACCATCCATGCTAATTTTGGTGAAGATCTATTTACACCCTGTGAAGTAGTTACATAGACAGACGAGAGACATGAAGTACTAATATATTTATATATATTATGAATAAGGAGAAAAGTACGACTTTAAATAAAGTTTGCAGATAATATTTTCCCTCTTGCCGCTGGGATTAACTATTTCTTCTGCGCATGTGCGGTCTCTGAAAATTACTTGCTACTGGAACTAATTTGTTATTATATATTTATTTGAATATCAACGTTTGTGTAGATTAAGTTTATATTTTAAAACATGTTTAGCTTGTAGTGTTAAATATGTATTGTAAAACTCCCACCTCTTCTCCAAAGTTGTAGAAGATTCTCGAGAGTAAGAATCAACAATATATGTATATACTTGAACGTTTAAATGTAGCTCAGTATTGTTACGTAAGACTGAATTTTCTAGAAAAACATTTCCACGGCTATAAATATAACGGACGCGACGCGCCAAGCAGAGAGTATTTATTATTAGTTCGCTATAATCAGTGTGCTGTAAACTTCGAAAGCTATAATTGTGATTTCTATAACGCTTGTCAATCGGAAAACTTCAGATACTTGACCAGGAACCCTTACAAAGTTCGGACATTACAAGTTATTTAACTTCAATGGATTCTCATCGGACATTAGTATTTTTACGAAAATATTATCTTACTTCAACAGACCAACAATTCAGTTTGTGTGGCAAAAGACAAAGCTAGCTAGCTTCCCGGCGAATCGTATCTCCATCGACTTGAAATTAACTGGCTCATCGTGAACCCTCGATAAGACATCAAGGAGGTTCCAGACTAGAAAGAAAACTTTATATTGTTTGTAAGTTTGTGAAATTTCTGTTTATGAATCATTGTTTTGTAATAACTATTTGTAATAATTGTTATTGTAAATTATATTGTTGTGTGTATATTAAAACGTATTTGTGTTAAAAACGAAGACGGTGTGTATCAATCTTGTTGGCAAATATCATAAACTGACTACATATCGGCATATATTTAAATACTAAATCCAAAGTACAATTTAACTATTCAATTTAAATTATCAGTTAACTCGGCTTCTGAATATTCGAAATTATAATACGTAACATTACTTATGTAGTATTTTGTACGTGGGGTCATCAGGAGTCTGTCAGGAGAAAATACAATCACAACACCACAGAATGATATAATAAAAAAAATCTATAAACAACCAGTAATAGAATATGGCTGACCCGCGTGGATAAACATCTGGTCCAGAATTATTCAATAGAAACTACAAACGATACAAAACTCGGTTCTCACAGCAGCGTACCAAGTGGCTAAAACAACAAGTTCAGCTTTTCTACATATATATGCAAACATACAGACACTGTCTGACAAACTCGTGAGTCTCCGACTTAAGTTCGAACATCTATTTCCAGAAAAAACATACAGAAACGAATTAACATGCTTACTGGATTTCAATATCATACATAATGGAAATAAACCTAAATTTCTTTTCTCCAAAAATATTTACTATAAGTTTAGCAATTTGCCACCTACTACTAGACTTTAATACCCATATCATTTGTGTAATTTTTGTGTATAATTGACTTATTATAAAACTAAGGACCAGTAAATTTATTTGCAAGTGTTAAGATTTTACTACAGATTTTACAAAAATGTCCTTAACACTTTTTTCTGAGAACTTTCAGATGTAGGTTAAAAACACAAGACATCAATTTGTGAATGACTGTAAGTACACTACTGTTTAGAACTATGGTTGGATAATCTACTTACTGAAACACACTGCACACAGTATAAGTACTGAAGTAATCAACCGGAAAGCCATTAGCCATACGTACACCAAACTTGTTTGTTGATAGGTGCTACAAAAATAATAAAACATGTTAGATGTTCCAGAAACAATAGTATTCCTACTACTACATATCATTATTATTTTTTAAACTAAGCTATGCTTCTTACTCATCGACTTTGATTTTTGGTGACTCGAATGTCTCCATGTTTATGGCAATTTTATTTTTATTTTTTTTATGGCAAAGCTGCCAAGGCTAGTTACCGCCGTTCTAATTTTCAACTACTGACCAAAGGGAAAACAACCAGTGATACCATCCATATGGTATCATATTTTTAACACAAATTCCGCCTAAAGCGCGGGGAATGTTTTGTGGTAGCGCTTGAATTCAAATAATGCTCACTAGCTCCGAAATCTAGGGCTCAGCCAAAGAACCAACTCGCGCCCCTTAAATTACGCTGAAATACAAGCTAGAGATCACATACCCAAGAAAAATATCATAGTTCTTTTTACTTAGTGTCTTTAATGAGCTATTTCGCTTTATTCATTGTAAACTATTAAGAGTATTATAAATGAATAATTAGATAACAAAGTAGCTTCAATAAATACCCCACTCTTTCAAGACATGTTACTAAAAGAAGTGTAAAACGACGTTTGGAACAATTCAAACTAATAAATACGACTATATAAATAAAAACTTTAATGAAGTTACACAAAAGTAACAAGTAGTAAAAAAACGTATCTGTTTATGTTAAGTTTTGTATTACATTTTGGTTAACATTGAAGTTACTGAGTTCAAATGTAATATCTTTCCCACTATCCACCTATTAAGAGTTACACTGACCGTACGTTGGAGAGATAATTAAATTAAAAGCAATAGGAACACTGAAATTGTGTAAAGATTTTCATTAAAAAACTCAGTTTGAACAACGTTAAAAAGTATACAATACTTTTAAAAACTGTTGAAGGCTTGTTTTGTTTGTTTTTAGTTAAGTACAAAGCTACACAATGGGTTATCTGTGCTCTGCCCACCACGGGTATCGAAACCCGGTTTCTAGCGTTGTAAGTCCGCAGACATATCGCTGTGCCACTAGGGGGGGGGGGGGCTGTTGAAGGCACCAGGTCTAAACTAAAAATATATCTATGTGTTTCAGTGGGGCACAGACCCAGAATCATCGGGAAGGAAAGCAGCGTTAAGAAAACATAATGCGTTTGTTTTATGCAGCAAGATATAAATATAGAGATATGTTTTCTCAAAACTATGACTCATCAAAACTTGTAGATGATTTTAGTTAGGCCTGATACCTTCAACGCACAGTCACATAACAAATGACCTTTCTACAAAATTTGCGAAGTTTCGTTGGAAATCACGAGGAGTATGGTAACACTGCAGTATTTAAGAGAAAAAAAAACAAGCAAAATCTCTCCCCTTATTTATTATAAAACTCAGTTTGAACAAACTTTCAAAGTACACAATACTTTAAGAACTGTTCCTAATGAGTAGATTTCTCTTTCTGAGAACCCCGGCATGGACAGGTGGTTAGGGCGCTCGACTTGCAATCCCCGTCACAGCAAACATGCTCGCCTTTCAGCCGTGGGGGCATTATAATGTGACGGTCAAGCCCACTATTCGTTGGTAAAAGGGTAGCCCATGAGTTGGGGGTGGGTGGTGGTGTCTGGTGGG